TTAGGCTTTAGGGTTTAAGGAACCCTACCACAGCTACCAGAACCGACTTTTTGTAGGTTCTTGGTATAAACCCATTATGGAATTTATCTCGAGCCGAGAAAAAATTAGGCTTTGATAGGTCAAGGTATATCTTTAAATTTCCATGCCTGAAGGCATAGGCACTTCTCCTGAACCTAGGGAATCTGCAAAGCTCCTGACATCAAAACCCTCAACCCAGAGCTCTAAACCCCAAAACCTCAACTTCAAACCCTCGACCCAAAGTAGCGACCTATAGCAACCCTTAGAATAACCCTGAGTCACCCTCATAGTAACGCGACAAAGAATCCCGTAAGGAACCTTTGCAGTCTCCCTTGTGCTTGGAGGCCCAGGGGACTCAGTAAGTCGGCTATAAGTAGGGTTGTGTTTTCCTACGTGCAAGCGAAAGGTCTGAGCACAGAAGCCTAGCCAATGATATGGAATCAAGACATAGGATCGCGTATCTTAGCAACGGAAACAATGAAACGTACGGAGTATAGTCTACACTTGAAACAATTAATGTGCCTGTGACGTAAAAATACATATGAGGGGAATATCATGAAGAGTGTATTGTATGCCTGCAATACGACTTATGTATGCACGAGAAACTGATAGGTGCAGCTGAGCAGCCTGCCTGAAGGTCGCGGTGCTGCTCCGCGCATTCGGTGAAGAACATTCGGTGAAGAGAATTCGGTGCAGAGAATTCGGTGATGTATCCAAGGTTTTAAACATGTCGACGATCTGTTGTTGAATGTTTTCCAGTGCTAGAATTTTGCTAGCTTAGATTTAATTGTTTTGTGGCTTTGTAACAAATATTCGCTGTCTTGCTTGTGTTTGTTGTAGTACGTACGGCCGATGCTCAGTGTTCGTGTCATCATAGCTCTCGGATCGTCCTAGCAAAGCGAATGCATCTTTAAATGTCTCCAGTAGCCATGATGCTCTTGGTTTATGCGGACAACAATATTCAAGTATAGGTCTGTTTGTATATGGATCCAACAAGACTTCCTTCATGGGGTCTTTCGAATCAGTTCTTAATCTGTGTCCCAGTAGTCTTACATTTCTTGTCATCCATGTTAGGGAATAAAAACTTAAAATGAGGTGGCGGTGATCAATCTTCAGGATGTCTAACACTTTCTGATTCGTGTAACTACGATCGATAAAAGGGGGAGGGATCTTTAGGATGCGGCGAAGTCCTTTCATCTGAAATGCATTAAGTTTATTTAGATCAGACTGCGTGAGCTGTATGCATTCAAGCCCATATAGCACTTTGCTTTTCAAAACTGAATCGAACACCCTTAGCTTCCATTTCATGGTGTTTTGAGCCTTGTTCCAGAAAATTTTAATCTATTGCATGTGATAGTGGCATCTGCAATGCGATTACAAGCCTCTCGATGATTATGTACCGTGTCTGTCAATAATGAACCAAAATACGTGGCGTCATGTTTGCGTGGAACAAGTGTGCCATCCGTAGATTTAACACTGGATGTTCCTTGATTCAGGATAAGGTTAATGCATTTGTCGTAATTCAAGCTCATGTTATAGTACCTGGATTCAGCTTAAATTGCGTGCAACAGCTTGTTTATTGTATGAGTATGGGTTCCAAAAACTAGTGTGACGTCTGCGTATAATATTTTTGCGAATTCTATTCCAGGTAAATGCTCTCTTTGCTTTGGAGTGTTTAACTTGGTTTTAATATCCTTGAACATTGCAGACATTAGTAATGTGAATAAAGATGGTGAGAGGCGGCAACATTGACGAATCCCAGACTCTTGCGAATTATATTCTGAACATTGGGTGTCCATTTTGATCCTGAACTGTGGATCATGGTACATGTCAGTAATCAACCGATACATATTCGGCGGTACTTTTAATTAGCAAGTGTAGAACCTGTAAGAGTTTTGTTTGGTCGACTTTGTCGAAAGCTTTCTCCCAATCTAATCGGATGAATGACAGGTTTGAATGTTGCCTTTCGGCTAAATCCAATAATCTTCTTGCTATGAAAATAACTTGTGTTGTTGACTTCTTGGGCCGAAAACCGTATTGTGATTTTTGGATCCATGGGTCGTACGCGTGTAGTAGACGTGTTCTTATCACACCTGCTAGAAATTTATAGAACACTTGCAATAGTGCAATTGATCTGTAGCTTTGCATTTGTGTGGCGTCTCCTTCATTGCAGATAGCAACTAAATATGTTTGTTTGAAAGACTCCGGGAACTCGCGGCTTTGAATCATGTCGTTGTATACAGACAGTAAAGTATTTCGATTTGAAGCGGAAAGCATTTCACTAGCTCTGCTCGGCATCCATCCGGTCCTGGAGTTTTGTTGTTTTTTGCGCATCGATTGTTATCTCAAGCTCCGTAGAGTCAAAAGTTCGTCATTCATACTGCTCGTACCTCCTATAAGTGGAGTTGCGTCTTTTTCTGGATCTAGATCGTTCTCTTCCGGTTGGGCCCACTGTACCTCGGCAAAATATTCCGCTGCTGTTGATGGGACTTTTTTCCTTTGATGAGCTCACCATGCTTGTTTTGGAATTTGTAACGTTTGGGTTGGAACGTCTTTCTTGCTTTCTTTAGGCCATCCCATTTATATCCATCCCGCATGATTTTTTCAAGTTCTTGTAGTAGCACCCGTTTTTTGCCTTTTGTCCCTTGCAAACGAATGTCCTTAGTTAAGCCTCGGGCCTTGATGACGTCATTTTCTTCAATTGCTTTCTGCTTGGCCTCGATTAACTTCCGGGTGGTTTCACAGAGATAAGGTTTCTTCTGTTCAGCCGGTATACGCATGAAGTACTTATCTGCCGATTCGATGAATATATGAGCAAGAGTGTCGAAAGCTTTTGTACAACTCCAATTGTCCAGCTGTCGTTGGTCCTCTATTTTCTGCTCGATGTAAACGTTGTAAGCATGTTTTTGATTCTGCTTGGGGGTCTTGTAATTTTGTGGGAGAGGCTTTCGCTTGTCTCGTTTCTTTTGGGCCAATTTCAAGTGCACGTCGGTAATCAGAAGTGCATGATCAGAATCCAAGATAGTTTCCTGAATGGTTGCAAGCAATATTGGAGATGGCATTTTCCATCTGTCGTTGATAAATACGTAGTCCATTTGGGCATGCGTGTTCATATCAATCTCCGTTCGATTGGACTGTGTTGTATTCAAACTTCTATATGTTACGCGATAAACAAAATTCCGTAAACAATTGTCTATTTTGCAGTTGTTGCTCGCTGAGGTGCTGTATGGTAGAAGTGGGAGTACGGTAGATGTGTTTACCAATGACGGTACATTCCTGTGGTAGTTGTTCGACTAGCCTGGCGTTGAAGTCTCCGAGAAGGAAATTCACCTCATATGGTTTCCAGTTGTCCATCTGGTGTTCTAAATCTAAACCCGCATAATGGCTGCTTTTTACCCTTATCGTGTGACCAGCATGTGGGGCATGGGTTGCAACAATATTAATGGGATTAGGTTTCGCGTCAATCGTCATTGGAATATTTTTGTTGTCAATCGCTTGAATGCTGATTTCAAAGTTTAGCTTCGCTTTGTACACAAATGCACATCCAAGCTTCTCTGCCACCCGTTGTCTGATTATCATTCGTTCTCGCTGTGCTTCCTCCTGTGGTATCTTGTCTTTTTTGCATTTATCATTGTACGTCTCCAATTCTTTATCGGCACATTTTCGTTGGTCATCGTCTGTGGTGCGTTAAAAATAAAGGATATAGTTGTCGTGTATGTCGTTTCCTGTGTAGTTTACGTGCGTTTCCAGCAGGGCAAGGATATCGATATGATGTTTTTCCATAACATAAACAATTTGTTCCCTTGCTGTAATGTAGTTCATTCCGCGTATGTTGAAAGTTGCGATTCTCAAATTTTGATTGTGTGTGCTAAGTTGACGTTTCGGCGTCACGTGAATATTTGGTTGTTTGTCACGTTTTTTGGTTCATATCTCCCGCCTTCGTTTCGGAAGTCAGAGTCTCAAAATTATTGGTAGTTGCTAGGATTCTTTCTTGAGCCAAGGTGAGGTTAGCTGGATGCTTGGCGAAGGCCTTCCAGCACTGTCTCACCCTCCTGCATTCCTTTCTATGAAAGGTTCGGGCCTGTCGTCTATTAGATTTATGGATAGACTGTTGCGTTATGGACCTTCTACCTCTTCTAATTATGTGTGCGGTTTGGGTGAGACTTGGGTTCAGTGCTCGATTCGTTCGCGCACCGTCCTTGGGAAAGTGTGCGCGTCTCCCGCCGTACCGGTTGGTTGGGGATAGAGTAGGGCAAAGCGCTATATATAGGATTTGTGTTACACATATCATCCCTGTGTATTTTGTGGTGTGCAAATGCTGGCCGTTGAGAGCCAGCATTCGCACTCATTCGGTGAAGAGACATTCGGTGACAAAGCATTCGGTGAAGAAGTGTCTTTGTAATAGCATTGCTAAGATCTTTTTGCTGCTCTGTTGCTGAGGGTACGCTTGCATCGACTTCATTGTTGTTCCCCGCTCTTGCTGGAAGGCAGTGTCCCTACAAGACTAGGTCAGGCTTCAGGATGCGTTTGGCAATCCTGTTGAGGTGCTCGTCGTATTTCTGTCCGAACTCATCATTTCCTCACATCGAGTTGCCTTTACCTCTGCCTTTGTTGCCGATGACCTTGCGTGACATGATATTCCCGTACGTGAAGAAATTCGTCTTCGAAGGCTCGCGCTGAGTAGAGGGTGTTGTTGACATAGATTCTCGCCATACCTTCCAAGTGATCGTATGCTAACCAAGCAATGTATTCTCCCGACTCCCTGTTCTGGATTGTGAAGTGCTTCCAGGATCGTTTCCATTGCAAGGTTGGGGTCATCTTCGTGATCACCGCCATGATTGCTTTGAGAGGCTCTGTTTGCATGCGCTGAAAGGCCGATATACACGGTTATGATCATGCCGTTGACGGAGTCCTTGCTGTTCCCGCTTTGTAGCTGGTTCAGCTTCGCATTGGTCCACGCTTTGATGCCGTTTTTTATCGTATTATTGGTTGATTGCCTCCAATAGTTGCTGCTTCAAGGCATGGTCGCCCAAGTCTACCATCGTGAATGGTGGCAGCTGCTTCCCCCGACGATGCTCGAACTTCGATCTTGTGATTTCTTTCTCGCTGATGCCCGCTTCCGCCGCAATGGCGTTGATCAGGGATTCGCGATGTTCCATCAGCAAGTGCTTCCATGGTTCGCTTGTGTCGTTGTATTGCCTCCACCATCACTTTGCCTGCAACTGCGGTTCGCTGTCGGTCTGCTTCATTGTAGAGAAGGAAAACCAACTGGGATTGTGATGATTTCATCTGATCTTTGAGGTCTCTAATGTCGTCAAGGATGTCGTGGATCTGGTTGTCATGGCTGGCTACATCTTCCATGTCTGCACGTAGGTCTTTGGCATCTTCCTCTTTCGGCTCTTTTTGCTTTTCTTGACTTCTTCCTTTCTTGGGTTGTACTGGTGTTGAGCCTTCTTTTCCCCCCCCGGTCCGTGATGCCGAGTGCCATTCGTTTCAATTGCACGCGTTAGGGATCTATCCTGTCTTGTCCTGCGCAGTGCCTGAACCCACACGGCTACTTGTAGGGTTATAATTGGGGTAATTCCATTGAGGGTACCTCTAACTCTACTTGCAACCTACTTACTAAGTCCCCTGGGCCTCCAAACCCTAAACCCTAAACTCTAACCCTTGAAATCCCTCCGGGCCTGACCCACTGGCGTCACATCTGGGAAAACGGGGCCTGATCGGATGTACATTTTGGGCGTGCTAGGGTCTATAGGGTCTACAAGTGGGGTTTACATAGGGTGTGTGTTTAGAATAGGGCTTGGATTCGCATCTTAGGGCTTAGGATTTAGTGTTTGGGGTTTGGGATCTGATGCTTGGGGCCTAGGGTTTCGGGTTATTGGGGGCTCAGTGGGGGGTTGCTGGGCTTAGGGCGCCTGGGGTCCAATCTCACAGCTGAAACGCAGGCCGGGAGCCCGGTACGAAAAAGTAGTCAATCCAAACTCGTAGAAACCCCTGGACCTAAACCCTAAACCCCTAAACCCTAAACCCTAAACCGTAAACCCCTAAACCTAAACTGGAACCTCGGATATGCTGAGCTCTTGGCTAAAGGGCCCACCGCCCGGCCGGTCGGGATGCCAGTGCCCGGTGGGCAACACCTCGTGGACAAAGCTGGGTGAGCTTAGGGTTCCAGGGTTTAGGGTTTAGGGTTTAAAGTTCAGGGTTCAGGCTTGAGGGTTCAGGGCGCGGGTTTATGGGGCTTTCCGGCTTTGGGTTGGAGTTGGGGGTGTTTGGGGCCCTCACTGCGGCTGGCAGAAGCAAAGCATTGCGATGAGTCCTGCTGCAGCATCCCTAAACCCTAAACCCTAAACCCTAAACCCTAAACCCTAAACCCTAAACCCTAAACCGTCACCAGATTGCAGAGCTCTGCGAAGACAAGTGGAACCACTTCTACTCCGACCTCTGGGGCACCCGGCTCCGGTGATAAACTGGATAGGCCCATCCATGTTTTTGAGGGCCTGATCCTGTCTTCAGTTTAGGGTTTAGGGTTTAGGGTTTAGGGTTTAGGGTTTAGGGTTTAGGGTGGATCAGTGCATGCCTTCGGCCCAGAGGTGTGATTTCACTGAACTTTCCGCTGCCACTGTGGGGTGTTAGTGCTTGGGGTTTGGTGGTGTAGGGTTGAGGGTTTAGGGTTTAGGGTTTGGTGGTGTAGGGTTTAGGGT